TCCCCCCCCCCCCCCCCCCCCCCCAAGTCTAACCTTAAATAAGGCTTTAGGTGTTTTAATCTAAATATTAAATGACAAGATGGAAATTGCCTGCCAGTTTATTATTTACCTGACTAGAGTCCACTCCGGTTCAGCTGCACGGTGTCCCCTTAAGATTCATGGCAAATGTTGCAAGAAGTGAAGCTTTCTGCCATTTCCCTCTCACATCTCCACAGTCTTAGGTTTGACCTTTATGATGTATTTTTTTCCCTGCTAGTCAGTCTTAAGTCATCATTTTTTATTTTTTTTCTCCCCTTTTCTTCCCATCCTCTTACCCACCTCTCACAATTTCTGCTTGCTCTGTGTCTTAAGGATGGGTGTGTGCTGGCTGTAAGCCACCTTTGTGTCCTCCTGTTTCTGGACCATTTCAAGGCTTTTAGTATAATTTTAATACTCTGGAGTTCAGGTAACGAACTTGCTGCTTGTGCTGTAATTTCTACAGTGCTGCAGCACCATTTCCACATGATAGCTGTTATCCCTGAAACGGGTACTCAGCACAGCTGTTATCCCTGACACTGGTACTGGGCTCCTTAAGGAATGCTTCAGGCTATTCCCTACTGTCACTGTATCGGTGGAGTCCTTCTGCAATGCAAAATTGGGCTTTTAAGGACTCTGTATGATACCTAGGAAAGCCAAAGCAGCGTAAAGAGGCTGGATTCTGCTTTCTATGTTTGTGAACTCTACTTAAACAAATTACCCAGAAAAGCCACTTAGGTACCACTGCCATTATCTAGCCATTTTAGTCTTTCCACACAGCTGAGTTTTTCCAGCCTGCAGATCGTTCTGATTGCTCTTCTTTGAACTTCCTCTAGCTCCCTCATTATTATTAATTTTTTTTTTTGTCAATGACAGGTCAGGAGCTTAGTGAGTAGTTGCAGAGTATTCCCACGAGAGCCTTCTGGACATAGTCTATCTCTCCTTTATGACACACCACATTTGCAGGCTTTCTTTTGCCCTGCCATGTTGCATTGTCAATGTCTGATTCACTGCCCACTCTGACCCTGAGGTCTCCTTGGGCATTATTCATTCCTGGATGTGTCTCATTCTGCTTAGCTTTAATGAGGCTGCTTTTTTTTTTTTTTTTTTTTTTTTGGGTCTGATTTCCTCAGACAGGACAGGGCTATTTGTGTCCAAGATGGACTTCTGTATTTTTGTCAAAAAGGAAGAGTTAGTACAGGAACTGTTGTGTTCTCCAGAGCATATGAATGAGATTTTTATCTTCTCATTAATTATATGAATTTGGGGTTGACAATTTTAAGTCCATAGCTGTGTGAAGAAAACTTTTTTTAATTTTTGAGGGACATTGTCAAAATGACTCTCTGTCTCCTCAGCCCTCTTCTGTTGACAGCTATAATGATATTAGAATTCCCAGACTAGAACAAGTCATTAGCCCATGAAGTGTCCTGTACCTGACACATTAGCTGAGTGAAAGGCTCAGCTAGGATTGTGAAAATTAATCAATATCAGCTTTGGTTGAAATGTTGAAATCAACTTCCCTGTCATGAGGTAGGGAATGTAAGGAGATTTGAAGAAGGACTGAATGTTTATGAGTCTAGCTAAGGCTGGAAAGGAGATAAACTCTTTTTTTTTCAGCTCTAGAACCAGTCTAATATTTAGAGATCAAGATGAGTACTCCATGTAAAACATACTGTCTCACACCTATCTTGTCTGTGGCTCTTCTCTGAAGCAAGGATTCCTGCCCATGGACAGACACAGCACGAATTACCCAGAACGAAGATCCAAAGTGGCAACTTATGCCTCCGTGGTCTTTGTAGAATTTCCAAACCCTGCAGACTGTGATCAAAATGTCCGTGAATATCAGCCACCAGAGCAAAAGTAAAATACAGCATGAGCTAGGAATATGTGATGGCTTTCTCTAAGCTATTCAGGAGAAAACCCATTTCCAAACAATGGAAGACGTCTATAAGGGATTTAAGGGCTAAGAAGAAAAGTCCTAAAGCTGGTTAAAAGCCACCTACAGTTCACTACAAGCTGCATTATCTATGAACAATCATTCAGAACAATCTGAAGGTCTCACATTGTAAGTCCTCACATGAATCAGGCACTTCAGAGTTTTCTCAGCCGTGCTTATTTTCCAAAAATGTGAAGGGACCTTATTCTGAATTTATAAAGGGAAAACCTCAGTCCAAGAGAACTTCACTTTTTTTTCTGATTTTTTAGTGGGGGGAGGGAGGCACAGGGAGACAGAAAACATTCCAGGAGCATGACTACAGTTTCACATCGTTGAGGCAGAAGGGAAAAAATTTACATTGAACCTGGTAGGCAATCAAATGATGCCAAAATTTTTGACGTAAAATAAATCATTAACTTGGTGTCACATCATTACAGATGCTATGCATGGTCACTATCCAGATCTTTAAAAATCCACAGTTTAGCACTTCTGACCTTCTGTGATAATGAATTCCACAGGTGAACCGCATACAGCATAAATGTGTCTTCGTTTCTTTGTTTGCTTTATATTCATAGCCTTTTAATTTCAGTGTCAGTTTTGTATCAAGTGTCAAGAAACTGATGATCTCCTGGATAGTTTTAACCCTATTTTTCATTTATTCTTGTTAATAGAATTAATTTTTGTTTTCTCAAGCTTGAATGCCATGTCTTCTAAGTCTCTAAACCCAGTCCTGTAGATTTATGTGCAGTGATCAAGGATTAGCCAGGCAATTGTAAGGAGCTGAGATACCATGTCCCAGTTTACTGTTCCTCAAGTGAGACATGCTTCTCATAGCACTGAAACTGACCCCTTCTGGTTTCCTAGCCCTAATCTGTTGCAAATACAAAAGAAACATCTTAGGTCCAAACACTTTCCCATCTTCTCCTTTTCATAGCCCTGGTCTGTGGGACCACTGGAGGAGTGATGGTTCGCCAGATGGATCCCAGTGACTGCATGCGACACTGCCTTGTGTATTTGTTCCCCTTCTCTGAGTAGTTTTGTGCTTTGTTGATGTCCTTCTTCCAATGAGGCACCCAAAATTGGAGAAAGAGATTGTTCCTGAAAATGTGAATGCCTTACTTTAATTGGAATTTGTTAGATGTTTTAGCCCCTTCTAGAAGCCATGAAGAAAAGAAGGTGGTGGCTTGATTGGTTGCTTCATAAGCCACATGAGAAACTACTCCATTTATGCCTGTTTCATAGACATTTTAAGGTGAAAGAGATTTCTATTGCGAGGTACAAAAGAACAAAGAAGCAAAATTTACATCAGAGCTTGCTGATTTTGTGGAAGCATTATGAAACCTGCCTGGTTTCTCTTCTCAGCTGTCTGAACGTCTCAGCTGCCTTCCAAGTAGGGAACCTGGAATTGTACATTCTTGCAGTTTCATGGCTTATTGAATGTCTGTCTATCCCCATTTCAGTGGTGAAAAACAGGAAATTAAAGTAATTAGAAAATAGTAATAACATTTTTGGTTTATCCTTGAAATGGTTGCATTTATTCATTAATAACATAGCTCCTGTTAACAATCTGGAACTTCTGTCTTCTTGCTCCAGTTGAAGATGAGAATTTATTTTAAAAAGTGCTCTGGAAATTCAATTTTCCAGTCATCTAACATGCTAGCTATTCCTCTGTGTCCATCTGAACTCTTCCAAACAGCACCATTTTTATGTTAGAAATAGCATAATTCTATCTATAATTCCATCATAATTCTAGCATAATTCTAGCATAGCAGAAATAGAAATTACTTCCGAATTGAATAATCCTGACCACTGTGACCCTTCCCC